TGGGGCGATGCCGGCGGCCCTGCCCCAGCCATTCTCAGCCCAGGGCGCTGCACGGAGGAGCTAGGCCCAGGCCTCAGAGGCCAGCAAGCCTGTCTCCCTCATGGACATGCCCCAGGAGACTGAGATGCAAGGGGAGGGGACTACTCAGGAGCCGTGTCTCTGGGTTCTCTCCCACAAGGCTGCGTCCCCAGGGCCATGGGGAGTGGGAGGGACAGGTCCTGGCTGACACTTCCTTTTCCAGGCCAAGGGGGCAAGTCCAGGAGAGGTGAGTCACAAGAGCTGGTGACATGGGATTGGCCTGGCCCCCTGCTGGACAGGAACACAAGATTCCTGGGCACTGAAGACCCTGGCCCTGCCCACAGCCAGAACCCACCTGTGCGGGCCACCTGCTTGCCCAGAGCTGACCAGGAGATGGCGCTGAACCCCAGGTTGCTCCCTCTGGTCCTACTGACTCTGTACTGGGAGCGCAGCCTGGCAGGGACAGAAGGTGAGTCCCATGGCTCCCTCCCTGGCCCTGGCCCCCTCTTCACTGCTGGGCTTTGAGTCAAGCCATTCCCCCAACACAATGTCCCCAGGAAGCTCCCAGACACCCAGGACTCTAGCCTCCCCACTCCTGCACTGTTCCCTCTTCCATCTCTCTCCGGATCCTCCAGACCCCTTCTCCCTCCCCATATGTCTGCCCATCCTCTCCTGGCATCTGGGAAGCTTCAGCAGGGGTAGTCTCACTTCTCCGCCATGCACGGTCTCGGACTTCCAGGCCACTGTTCTGGTCTTTTCTCTGCCAGTTGTTCCCCAGCAGACATTGTCTGCTCCCCTGACAGCCTCAGTACTTCCCACCTGCAGCAGCCCATGACCCCATCTTGGCCCCCTCCCTGCCCCTGAGGATGCTCCTGGGCTCCTGAGGCTGCAAGGACCCCCTCTTGGAGTGCCCTCAAGAACCCTGGGAACCACATCCCCTCCTCCAACACGGGGCCCTGCAGGCCGGGCCAAAGCACAGGGCGTAGCCCGGGCAGGCTGTATCTTAGGGTGGGCGTGTGCTGCTTCTCCCAGGCTGCCCTGGGGCCGGGGCAGGGCCTGTGCCTGCTGCCTGGTCCCATTCTGCAGGAGCCCTGCTCAGGAGCCGGGCAGAGCAGGGGCCCAGGAAGTGTGCTGAGAATTTCTGTCAGGAGAGGGGAGTCCACAACCAGGCCCCCACTCCACCCAGGATTCTAGGGCCCTTCCCAAGCTGGGAGCTAGAGAAGCTGGGAGGGGCGGTGACAGAGACCCCTGGAGGGCAGAGGGGTGATCTCCCCTGCCTGTCCCCTCAGATACTGTTCCACTGCAGACCCTGCGCTGTCACAATGACTACACCAGCCGCATCGTCTGCAGGTGGGCGGACACTCAGGCTGCCCAGCGCCTCATCAATGTGACCCTCTATCGCCGGCTGAATGAGTGAGTGACACCGGGTGCCAGGCCTGGGGCAGGGGTGTTGCTGTGTCCCTGAGCCTGGCATGGGGTTGCATAATGGAGAGGAACACTTCGGGGTCAACCTCTGGTGGGACTAGACTGAGGACAGGGCGAGGGAAGCCCCTTCCAGGAGTCCCTGCTCTGCAGGAGCCTGGCAGGCCCACGCTGGGGCCTGATGCTGGGGCTCTGGAGAGCCCTCTAACTCATGCTGCTGGAGATGGGCACCTCCTCTCATTCCCTCGCTGCTTCACAAGGTCATCCTCACTGTGAAGCAGGCAGGGCCCGTCACGATGCCCGGTTGGCACATGAGGACACTGTGGCCACCGCAGTCCCTACTCCCCCTGAGGCATCAGTGCCCTCTGGCCAGGGTTTCAGATCACCATGCAGAACCGCCTGCCACCCCGCACAGATGCCAACGCAGCTATGGCAGCAGGGTGCCTGACGCCATGGTCCCTGCGGCCCTGGCCCCCGCTGCTCCCTTCTCCGCAGCACTGTCCCGAGTGGTCAGACTCGCCTTGCCCAAGGCTCTCCCAGGAACCCTCCTTGGACCCACTGCCCGGGGTCCCGCTGCCCTCTCAGACCACCCAGACTGTGATTGCCTGAGCCTGCCCGGAGGAGCCAGCGGCCAGGTCTCAGCCCCGAGGGCAGCGCCTCACCCGATGACCCAAGCATCCTCCACAAAACTCCTTCGCCTGACACCTGCCACTTCACCACCCCTTCTCCCAGTGTCCCCTAGCCCGCTCTTTTCAGTCTCGGCCCCCTTTTCTCCTTTCGTCTCCAAAGGGTGGGACGCCTCAGAGTTGGGTCCTTAGATCGCCACTGGTTTTCACTGCCAGAGGGTGCGTGCAGCCACCAGAGGAGGAGGGGGAGGACGCACTCCCCGATGGAGCCTGGTCACACCACAGTCCCCGCACCTCTGTTTCTCCAATCCCAAGCCACCATCTCCCCACTGGGAGACGCTCACTTCCCGGCCACCCCCGTGCCCGCTGTCTAGATGGTGGCTTAGGATTTGGGGCACTCATGCACACACATATGCAGTGTGCTTTTCCAAGCTGCCAAGGCCAGGATTTGAACTGTGGTTGGCCGTGTGGGATCCAGCTCCCTTATCCACTGGGCTGCAGGGCCAGCGCTGTCCTCCGTTCTTTACGTCAATACCTAATCTGCGGTGAGCCTGCCTCGGTGTCCAGACTGGGGAGCTGAGGTGGGCTCTGTCTCCCAGACCTCCCTCGCTCTGCACCTACAGGTGCAGTTGCACCCCGTGCTGTAACTCAGAGAACAGTTCTCCGGCCCACACGCCCTCGGCCAGAGCCCCGCTCTCCCCTGGAAAGACGCGCCTGCCTCGTCTTCCCCTCTCACATCACTCAGCCGGAGCTCCCCACGGCTCTTGAGAAACACCTGGGAGTTCGTTTCGTTTCCCTGCCTCTGGTGGCACCCCTCCCTGCTGCAGCGTCCAGGCCATCTGCAAATGCTGAGACCCAAGCAGAACCCTGGCCAGTACTGACACCACCCCTCATCCCAACCACTTCTTACCACTTGGGTATTCCAGAAGCCTCCTCGCCGCTCTCCTGCATCTGATATCGCACCCCTCACCTCGTCTCTCTGCAGCCTAGCACCCAGAGGAGTCCCTTCAAAGCTTCTGTCAAAATGCGTCACTCATTTGTTTGTAACTCTGTTTCCCTCTAACTCACAGCAAAATCTAAATTACTCAGATGCCTTCCAGGCTGCAAGCTCAGGCCTCCTGTCACCTTTGTCACCTTCCCCGCTGGTCGTCTAGACATCCCCACCCGCACAGACTCCGTTCTATGCACACGCCTGATTGTGCAGCGCTCCACACCTGTGCCTGCCCCAGGCCCTTTGCACTTGCTAGTCCCGGGATCTCCGTCCCGGAGCCTGCACACTCCTTCACCTCCTGTACGATTCTGCCCAAACATCACCTCTGAGTGAGGTCTTCCCGGTTTCTGGTCTCTCAGCCCTGCCAGCCTCCTCACCCCCACCCTGACTTCCTTATCTACGTGGAGGTTTCTCCCCTGGACACCCTAAAAGTTCCATGCAGTAGTCAAACATGCGTCTTGTCCCCTAGGAGGTCATGTCATATACAAGTATTCACTGCCAGACCCCAGCCCAAGACAAAGCCTGGCGCACGGTAATCACTTGATAACGTTTGAGGAATGGGTGCTTCTGATTCGCTCTGGGCTAACCTGTGTGCTTTCCTGCCAGCGACCCTCTGGTGCCGGTGTCCTGCGAGCTCAGTGCTGGCATGCCCGGGTCCGAATGCCCACTTCCTGACTGCGTGCCGAGGAGATGCGTCATTCCCTACAAGTCCTTCGTCCTTGCCGACGACGACTACTTCTCGTTCCAGCCAGACCGGCCTCTGCGCGCCCAGCTCACTGTTACTCTGACCCAGCATGGTGAGGGCCTGGGGACCTTGGCTGTGCTCAGTCCCTTGTCTAGACGGCGGGCACCGGGGGTGGCCGGGAAGTGAGAGTCTCCCAGTCAGGGAGATGGTGGCTTGGGATTGGGTTTGCGTGTCTTAAAGGGAGAGGACACAGCTTCCTGATACTGGAGGCCTCAGAGCAGATGCCACGGGAGCAGCCTCTCACTCTGGCCACGCCCCCACCTGCAGAGCCAAAGGCACGGAGAGCTCCCTGAGCTGTGCCTACGACTCTCGTAGAAACTCAGTTTGAAAACTCTTTCCTCTTTCTTGGCTCATCTCATTTCAACAGCCCATTTGATGAATGAGGCCCTTGAGGCCCAGAGAGGCCATGTACTTTCCCAGAGTCCCACCACTGAACAGGAAAGACAGCGGTGGCCACACGTCCTGGGGACTGGCTGCACTCCGCGGTGCAAGTCCCAGACCCAGCGGCCTGCAAACGCACCAGGCATGTGTGTGCGTGGCCCAAATCCTGAGAGGAGAGTAGAGAAGAAGGGATTGTGACATGGCCATCCCCTTGGGGGTGATTCCCCACATTCACTCTCTCTATGTCTCTCTCTGGTCAGTGCACGTGCCCTGTGGCCAAAAATAATAATAATAATAATTGTAAAAAAACCATTGTGTTGGCACAGCAAGGACCGTGCGCACGGCAGCTGTTAGGAGACTGCCAGCTCTCAGCTCTCACCTGCACCAAGTCAGGTCCTAGCATTATCGCCGCCTGGCAGCTGATGAGGTTGAGACAGGGAGGGAAGTGACTTGTCCAGGGCCTCTCGGCTGCCGGTGGCAGAGCTGAGACTGCAGCACAGGAATGGCTAGCCACGGTGCCTCTGACACTAACCATTGGGCAACCCTGCTGCTCCTCAGAAGTGTCAGAGAGGAGGGGCTGTGGCCTCTGCTTTCCATCTCTTCTAGCCACAGCAGGACAAAGCCAGAAGACGGGGTGGGTTGGGCCATCAGGAAGTCGCCTGCAACTATGTTTGGACGAGCACCCCAATCCAAGTAGGTTTCAGAGGGTGCAGGCCAGGGAGACCCAGAAACATCCGGCGGTGTCCTGTGTGATGACTCACTGGAGGGGCTGACGTGCCATGTGCAAGGGGAAGAGGGCAAAGGGGTCCTGGGAATCAGGATCGGCTTCCCGGAAGAAAGAGCTTTGCAGCCCAGATCTGAAGGGCGAGAGGGGAGAGTGGGAGGACCGGGCCTGGCAGGGGTATCCACATGTGCAAAGGCCCAAGACTGCAGGGTGTGGAACCACCAGTCATGGCGTCTAGGGGGGCATCAGATTCTAGAGGCCAGAGGGTGGCCGAAAGAAGACAGAACTCAGGCAGGGGCCGAAGCTGGAGAGGCTTGTGTGTGCCCTGCAAGGGCAAGGCATTTACAACGAGCTGTGGTGGGACAAGGAGAGGAGCCAAGGATTCAGCCTAGGGTTGGAGATCCGAGGCAGTTTCTGGAGGAGACACTGATGCTGGTCACCGACAGAGACGTGGGCCCTGGGCAGGTGGGGAGCGTGGACAGCTGGGGGCGAGGGGAGGCACACGTCCCAGCGCCTTCTGCTGGGAAGGAGGCCGTATGGGGCTGCCCAGGCAGCAGCCTGGGAGGGATGACCAGGACAGGAGGCTCCCCTGGGAGACGAGCCGTCAGCACCTTCCGTGGAACGCAAAGTGTACATGCAGCCTGCACCGCCACGTCTACTGCCCGACTTTGAGATGAAGAGTACACAGGAGAGAAGGGTCTGGTCCGAGGTAGTTCAATTGATAGGGGCAGCATTTGGGCTCGACTCCAAGTGTGTCCACACAAACTGCCCTGCAGGCCCTCAGCCACCCCCATAGTCATCCAGTCTTCACTTCCTATCCCTGCAGTCCAGCCGCCCCCGCCCGAGGACCTCCAGATCAGTGCCACCGGAGACCAGTTCCTGCTG